TTGAGTTTGCTTACATCGAGCCACGTGCTGCCATAAAGGCATGATGATGGCTAGTCTAGGAACTTAGGCGTAATGATGACGTCTTTTAGAGTTCCCTAGGCGCGTGCTCGCTTACGTGCCAGCAAGCTTCTCTATAAAAGGTGGAGAAGGAGCTTCATTTTCACTTTTCTCTTTCTCTCTTTCTGCTCGTCGCTGCTTATTTCTACTTGACACAAATTTTTTTTGAAGTTTTTCTCTCGTTCTGTCGTTTTACCGCCGAGACTTCCACTTATCCCGCCGATAATCGTTGATAACTTGGTAAGTTTCTTGATTTTCCTTTGTTATTGTAGAATTTACTTCTGTTATAGGCTAGATTTTGTGCTTCTTTTCCTAGAAATGCATGCGGTTTAGGGTTTATAATAGCTTAGCGTGAGAGTCCCCGACAGAGTGTTGGTGTATGGCAGTGGTTTTGTCATCTGAGAACGCTGGCGTGGGGCAGTTTCTAGGCTTCTGTTTTATGATCTTCATAAAAAACGATGAGTTCTTCATGAGTGGCTTCGACCTAGAGGTGTTGGGGAGATAGCTGCTCGTAGGATCTTTGTGCTCTTGCTCGTTGCAGATGTGCCCCACGAGAGAGTTTGTTTTTTTCTTTTTATGGTCGAGTGAGGGCTCTGGTTAGGGACAAGGTCCTTGTTCCTTTGCGCCTTTTCACTTGATTAGCCATGGAAGGGTGGTTTTTATTTTAATTTCGAACTCACTTTTGTCCTCTTCTTTTCAGGTATGATGGCTAGTGGTACTGATGATGAGTTAGTGGTTGAACCCAGCGATTCCTCGCTAAGTTTTTCTGAACACTCATCGACAGATGAGAGTACTTTAGGGATGCCTGAACCCAATCCGTTTGAGCCAGAGTTGGTCGAGGAGGGGCAGGATGTGCCCTTAATCAGAGCGAATCCTTAGCTTGGGTCGCGCCCGATCCTTTGAAGCATGTCTCCTATTTCTGTGAACACCCAGATGAAGTATTCGCCTCGGTGGCTCTGGGGATGGAGATAGAGGGCGTCGAGAAGGAGTGGTCGGTATATATACCCAATCTAAATCACTAGATATGTTCGAAGTTTGAATCGAATCATATCCCTATGTACGATATTCTCTTTTGGGAGATGGGTTTCAGACTTCCTTTTAGTGACATTCAGGTGGTTGTTCTACGGCATCTTCGCCTTGCTCCCTCACAACTGCATCCCAACTCGATTGCCTTCCTGCAGGCTTTTGAGATTGTGTGTGATTATCTCCAGATAGGGGCTACCGTTCCACTAATCTTCTACTGATTCCACCTCTAATGGGGCGCTTATAGTGCTCAATTCGCATGAGTTTCTCTCAAGCAGGCGAACGGGAAGCTGTTTAAAGCTTACCTTGAGTCTGATCCAATCATGATATTCAAATTAAATTCACCCTCCTTTCAAAAATTCGATGAACTTTCAATTGTGGACTTTTGCAAACCAACTTTGAAACCAAAGATATTGAATGAATACTCAAAAGGAATGACTTATACTAATAATCAACATTCATACTATTTATATGCTTCCTCAAGAAAATTGAATCAACTTCTATGCCAAGCTTGAACCTTTAAGAAACCCTAATTCAAGTTTAGACTTAAAATCCAAAATGCCTTATAGCCCATGCAACAAGTGCACCTTGAATTGATGAAAGATGGATCCGCAATAGATATTACCAGATAAACCAATATCTTGATAAAATGAGAACACCAATTAGGAGAAAATGACTTGATTATAAACCCCAAAGAAAACTTTGAGCTCAAATACACAACCCTTGAACTCCTTGAAATGTTGAGAAGGTGATGCACATGATGGCCATGCAACCAAACTTTAGTTCACCGGATCTTCAGTTGAAACACAATAGATAAAAACCCTATCATTCAAAAATCACAACCCTAATCCACTTTCCTCCTAAAGTAACTTGACAGATGGCTTTGTCTTTTGACGAAGATGGGTATCTTGATGAAAGAATAAATTCCCAATGATCATGAACACAAACTCTAATTCCTCGACCACAAACCCTAATTCCACGCTTCACTGCTTGCAAAAGAATCTGAGAAATCAGACTTTATTTGATATATACACCTCACACAACTGTTAAACCCTATCTTGCATGATTATTGATCATTTGAACCTCAGGTGCTTTATTGAATGAAAATGCATGTTATGATAATGACCTAATGAAAAGATGCAAATGAATGTGAATCCTAAGCCAGATAAAAAGACGATAGGAGGAAAAAATTTAGGTTTCAACATACATGTATAAAGTGATCCTCAAAGTTGGTACTGTAGATTAATATGTCATCAAAAAACACAATGATAAATTGACGCAGAAATAGTTAGAAAATGGTGTTCATAGTAGCTTGGAAAGAGGAAGGGCGTTAGAAAGACCAAACGACATCACTCTAAACTAATTGTGCCCTTGGTGTGTTCAAAATGCAGTTTTCCTAATTTCATCTTCTCGCTTTCGAATCTGATGATAACCCTATAACAAATCCAATTTTGTAAACTAAGAAGCGCTGCACAATTCGTCTAACAACCCATCCACCATTGGAATTGGAAATCGGTATTTGATAGTAATGGCATTAAGTGTGCGGTAATCGATGCAGAACCTCCAAGATCTATCTTTCTTTTTAACAAGAAGAGCGGGTGAGGAAAAAGGATTGGTGCTGGGGCGTATAACCCCATTTTCCAACATCGTATCATCTTGTTTCTCAATTTCTTATTTCTGGAAGTAAGGATATCTATATGGTCGAACATTTACGGGTTTGGCTTGTGGAACAAAGTGAACTGAGTTGTTTGTCTCATGGGGAGGTGGAAGGGTGATGGGTAGTTGAAATATGGATATGTATTTTTGGAGTAGTGTTTGGATTTGAGGGTTGTTATTTTGGGTTGAAGGGGGCTCAGGGTTCAATATCTGAATATGGAAGAAGGCGATAACTTCATCGATGTAAAGGATGCAGCGCACTTGTTGGGCTAAAATGAGATGAAAACCCCCATCTCTTTCTCATTTCAACTCAATAATTTTTCTCTTTTGGAGAAACTTCACGGTGAGACCATTGTAATTAGTCGTAACAGGACCCAACGATTTCATCCACTGTACTTCTAGCACAACATCAACACCGCTAATAGGTAATACGAGTATATCAATGATGAAAGTGTGAAATTGAATATGTATTTTGACTTGAGGGAAAATCTGATGACATTCTATCTTATTTCTATTGCCAACCATGACCCTCAGAGATGTAGTGGATTAGGCCTTAAGCCCAAGTTACTTGACTAACCTTTCTTGTATAAAATTAGAGAATTTTTTATGGCATCTTAGATAGGTGAAAAAACTCTATGAAAAACCAAAAATGCCCCCCAGAAGTGCATTTTTGGGGCGCATCCTTAAATTTCATAATGTAAAGCTGTACCAAAAATGTATTTCCGGTTTTAATATAGGGTGAATCTAAAAAATGAATGAATTATATGTGTATAGAATGCATATCAGAAATATATTTCCGATTTCCGAGAGCATTTTTGGAAATTCACGCGGGTGGCTAAGAACCACTTAGAGTGCGTTAAGAAATTCTCTAAAATTATGGGTACTACCCCATCAATCAGAATTACAACATTCTCGGTAGATATTCGACCCACCATTCGAAGGGTTTCCAGAGCCAGGTGACCTGAAAGTGCATGGGAGCTGATTTGGGCTTGGTCCAGATTCGGGTCAGGATCATAGGTTAGGGAAATTTCAGGTTCTGAGTTTGTTAAAGTCATGGTTAAATCCGATTTATCATCATCCTCATTATCAATACGAAATTTTTTGATGCACACTTGTGACACAGACTTAACTTGTCATCACAGTTAAAGCAGAGTCCCTTCTCATGCCGGAGTGACATCTTAGATGGTGTGAGGCATTTGAAATGAGGTGGATGGTTTTTGGTCGTGTTTGTGGGTTGTATTTTACTTATTTCATTTATTCCTTATACATTCTACATATAGTCATTACATAACAATTTATCATGCTAAATGAATCGTACAGGAAGAATTTATAGAATAATCTTTGCAAGATTTAGTGAAGTCAATCATAAGGTGACAGCTCATTCTTTCCTAACAGAATTTGTTGCACCTTGAGTGACATAATCTTCTAGATATTTTGGCTTACTGAACTTTCTTTTGGACTTCTCTTTGACATCATTGTGGGCCTCTTCGACTGTGTCTTAATCGACCCATATGCTATCAGGAGCATATGGAAAGAATGGTTATAGATTTATATACATGAGAAGCGTAATGAAGGCTATAATTCCACTTGAATTTCCTAATGAGAACCCTCCAACACCTTTTGAGAAGACTGTGGTTCTTCTAAATTTCTCAGTCCAAACCTTTCAAAACAAGAATTAAAAATCCTCCAAAAATTTAATGCGACTCTTCTGAACTTGTGGTGTATAATTAAAGAAAAATACTTCTTTGTACGAAATATCAGAAAACAAAAACGAAGAATGAATTATTTAATATTCAACCACATATATATTTTTGCCCTTCTTGCACAATTACTTCGTAATATATATTAAATCTCATAATTAAAATATTTTTGATGATCAATAGTATTTTTTTTTTTAAAGTTATTTTATCAACATAAAATTGTAGTGATTTACCTCTTACATTAATGTTGAGATTTGAACTTAGATGAAAATAAAATTATTGGTGCCATCTATTTTGTATCAACCATACTTTGGAACAATGGAGTTATATCAACAGTACTTTGGAACAATGGAACTAAATCTATTATCTTGAATAAGCTTAATGAGCATCGAGAAACAATTAATATGACCGATATTTCTAATCTTAAAATTGCGTGTAAAAGAATATCCGATTTATAAAGAAATCACATATAGTCTTACATAAATAGATGCCAAAGAATATTTAGTATAATAAAAAAAAAATCATATATTGAGTAATTAAAATGTTAATAGGCCTATGTAGTAGTTAATCTTGTGTATATGCCTCTCTACTTTCTAAGGTAGTTTTATTTTGCAGGTGGTCTCTCTTGAGAGCAGTGAACTTGACAGCTATGTCTTCATAATCTGGCAACTTAGGATGAACATGATTTGGATATTGTTGACATGAATATGTCCTTAACATATCTTTCCCTTTTATATGTCTCTCCTGTGGCATTGTCATGGCCCTTGAATAATGAACTTCTGTTTCTTTTCTCGTTAAAGAACCATTAATCTTTGGATCTGAAACACTGAAGCTGGCAATAATCTCTTCTTTTGTTTCATTGTTTCCATTATCACCATCTTCACAAAATGGTCTACAAGGACAACATTCATCATGCATACAATCTTGTTCAACATGTGATGTAGCTTCTATCAGAGGTTGAGTTTCCAGAGAGTCTTTGTTATCATCATAAAGGTAATAATAACAAGGTTTGTCCAAGCTGCATCCTTTGATTTTTCTGTGGAAGTTTATTCTCCTTGTGCTATCTTCACTCTTTATCTGGTTTTCCGCGGATTCATTCGTCGTCGTGAGATTATCCTGTTCGTGGCACGGTAACTCTTCAAGCCGAGATTCGAATCCTACTTCGCTATGTTGTAGAAGACTAGTCTCTTCATCTTCTGCTAGACACAACCTTGGTTTGTTGCTATCTTTGTTCTGATCTGATTGTAAATTTTTTTTCGTACTTCGCATCAGTTTCTTCTGATTTTTTCTGCATGGCTTTTGATAATAAACCATGTGTCCAATATCAATAATGCCTACATTTTTTATGGAGGATGGTCTTCTTTTTGATCTTTTCCTAGGAGTTCTTTTACTCCTTCTTGAGGTCATTGTGGTTAACGACTCACACATCGAATCCTCTTGATCTATATCACTTTCATCAAATCCATATCGAGCTCTTTCTCTACCAGAAAGACGAAAAGAATTGAAATTCAATAGCATATCGTCGTGGCAGGCACCGTATTTTGGTAAAGAAAATTGATATTCCTCAACCTCATCAACATAATCTACCATTTTTGAAGAAAATAGCTTAGGAAAGTCTACCTCAACTATTTTCTCAAATTTATCTTGCATAGGATAGCTTAGAATATATTGAGGATATTGTGGAACAATCGACATTATAGCCGAAGAATCAACAGCGAAGGCTGAATTAGGAAGAGTATTGCAAGAAGAGTCACATGGTTTGGAAATAAGTGATGAACGAACACATTTGACATCTCTTTCTATGTCAAGAGTCTCTGAAGGATGGACCTTAGATTCCGAAATTGAGGCATTTATTTTGGGATCATTTTCCACTAGTTGATACCCTTTGTTTTCTATATGCTGCACAAATACACTCAACATTAAATTAATAAGATCATAAGTTCATGAATATTATTACAATGACTATAGTTTAGAAAAATGAACCTGCACTTGTTGCCAATCAGGGTAATATTCTATGGCTAAAACATTTTGTTCGAGACAGTTATTATCCCTAGCTATTTTATTCACCATTGCGTACTTCAAATCCTCGGTCACATATTTCTCTGATAAATTCTCTGCTAACTGTAATTTTTATGCTTTATGAGTACATATACATCTTTAACATTTAAAATGTCGATGCTAGATAGTACTCAACAAAATAAATGAAAAAAGATAAAGTAGTACCTGCTTGTTAACAAGATTTCCAGGAAATAACTCAACCGCCACCTTTGCAAATTTCTCACCATATCTTTTTCCAAACAATTTCCTGATAACAGAAAGCTCCGGAATATTCCCACATCTTGCAGATGCAAATATAAGACTAGAAATTGCTACTTTTATATCATTTGGACAGTCCCTGATTTTGAAAAGTTGAATCATTATAAATTTTTTTAGAAGTTTGAAAAATGTATTTCATTTAGATATAGTGCATGATTAGATTGTCAGTGAGCATGATCGAGTCACATACTAGTGACTTTAATCAAATTCACTGTCATTCCAAACATGCACATAAATTAGATTGGTATAGGAAGCAATCTTAACTTGTGCTTTCGAATATAGGAGAGCTGCGTCAGAATAAATTCACAATTTTTTTCAATCAATTCATATGCATCTGCCAAGCTTTCATCTTTTATTAACTGCTCAACCTGTAATAAAGATATACTCATAAATTTCATAACTATAGCATGCATATGATTGTGACTTGTGAAACAAGGTAGTAATTGTTATAGATTAAATGAAAGCACTGTGAAGTTTCCATCAGGAAAATTATAGAGGCTGAAGATGTTCTATATGATTCATCAATAAGAGTAATTACAATAATAATAATATTAAGAAATTACCCGATTAAGAGCAGCTTCTTCATGACCACGTTGTATTAACTCAGCCAAATCATTTCGTAGTTGCTTAACTATTGTTTGTCTCTTGTTCTTGAGAAATTTGATTCTGCATATGGCTTTCTTAATAGTACTTTTACTATAAAACAAGGCAATTATATATTATCAACACCTCGAAGAAAAAATTAAAAATGAAATGATACATGCATCATGAGTAGTATAGTTACCATTTAGAAGCTTTGGACCAACCGAACAATATCTCAAACATATTAAAAATGAAGAGAGTTAAAGTGATGTTGGTTTTGGAGACAGAAAGAGTAAATTGTTGTGATGAGAAAAAGTTGGAGAATGAAGAAGATGAACCACCAGGAAATAGAGAGTATTTGGTCGTGCTTGTTTGGTGTAGAAAAGAGTGGTTTGTGTGGTCTTTCTTTCTCGTTCTAATAACTACTCCACACACAATTGTTCTTAGTTGCAAGTTTTAAGGACACATGTCAATTTTGCATATTGCTTTTTAGAATATGAATTGTTCATGTTTGTGTCCACGATGGCCATTATTACTAGTACAATATACCACGAATTAATTACCACTACAATTCATAATGGATAGAACTAGAATTCAATAAATAAAAATTCAGATCAATTTTAATAAAAACTGTATAGTGATTTAATAAAATTAAAAGAAAACTATATAATTAAATATTATAGGATAGAGTGGGTGGAGTAGCTATATCTTATAAGTGTAAGTAAATGGTTGATATTTATAAATTAAGAATACAAAAAAATAATTTAAATTGAATTAGATCAAATTTTAGACATATTTTAAAATAAAATCGAATCAAATTGTGCATATATTTTAATATTTACTTTTTATATATTTATAATTTAATTTATATTTATATTTTATTTTATTGATATTTAATTTCTTTTAATACTATTTATTAGTTTAATTTAATATATATATATATATATATATATATATATATATATATATATATATATATATATATATATATATATATATATATATATATATATATATATATATATATATATATATATATATATATATATATATATATATATATATATATATATATATATATATATATATATATATATATATATATATATATATATATATATATATACTATTTTTTATATTTCAAACATAATTATGTAATATTAATTATTAACTTATTATATATTGTATTAAATTTATATTTATTATATTTTAAGGTTAAATAATAATTATTATCTCTGTACTTTAGTCCATTCAAGAAATCAATTTCTCAACTTTATTTTTAAATAATTTTAGTTTTTTTTTCATTTAAGCCAAAAGAATTGATGATGTGTTCTTTTTTTTATTGTTTATAGGGATGACAATTTGACTTATCTTCATTGGGAACCAGCAAAAATATCTATAATAGATAGGATGAAAGTCCGCAAAAATAGTTATGGGTATGAACTCGGATGATTATTCACTAAAATAAGTGGGTAGGAATACGGATATAAACACCTTATTACTCAACTCGTTCCATACCCGTACACTATATATATATTTATATATTTTAATTTATTTTTTATAATAATGTATGTTTATCAATTTTAAAAAATACTTCAATGTTAAACTATTATGTATTTAATATACGTGTTTGTTTATTTCACAATTCAACAAAATATTTTTTGAAACTTTTTAGTGTTCTTAAAAATTTAAAATGACATGATATTTATTTTTTATCTATTTATTTTTTATTAAAAATGCAGATAACGGATACGAGTACTTACATATCCACAGGACACAAATATTGATACTAAATTTGGGGCTCAAGCGGGTATGGACTCGAGTACAGGGATTTTTTCCATCTACAAATATGAAAATGGATACTATAGTACCCTATCCAAACCCTGCCAATTACCACCTCTAATTGTCGACACAATAAAACCATGGAACATTATGAGATATGTCATCCTATTTTACATGTCACTTATATTTATTTCTTGGCAAAATACCCTTTTTAGTCCTTTAAGTTTACCCCAAGGTCCATTTTGGTCCTTTATCTAAAAAAAGTGTCAAACTGGTCCTATAATTCTTTCAAAAGGACCATAGGAGTCATTTCCGTCCATTTTGGTCCTTTTTGGTTCATTGGAGAAGCTGCAAAATGAGTTTGATGGAGCAAAGATGGAGATACATCATCTAAAGGAAAGGAAGGATGGGCTGAAACATAAGATAATGCAGTTACAAATTGAAATAAAGAAGGATGGGCTGAACCAAAAAGGACCAAAATGGACGGAAAGGACTCCTATGGTCCTTTTGAAAGAATTATAGGACCAGTTTGACACTTTTTTTAGATAAAGGACCAAAATGGACCTTGGGGTAAACTTAAAGGACTAAAAAAGGTATTTTGCCTTATTTCTTTAACTTCAATTTATTTTTAAATATTAAAAATCAATAATATTAAATTCAAAACTTTAAATTGGAATCGAAGGGATTAGGATCGAAAAAGAAAAAAAAATCTAACTCACTAATAAAAAACTTAATCCTAAATCCAAAAGTAAAAATCAGAGGTTTAATCGATTTCGTTCTGATTTAGTTGATTTTGTGTCAGTTTTGTTCCCGAGTTGTCTTTCCATCCCAACATTGTTTTTGTAAGGTTTAACAATGGTAAAAGCACATTCATTAGGAATGGATTCTCTAACTTTCAACTCTCTACCTTTCTCTAACTTTCTCTCTATCTCTCTCATGAATTACTTTCTCTCACATCTTTTTCCCTCCAAAATAAATATTATTTATCTTTTGTCTTATTCATTTTTTTGCCTAAATTTACTCTACTTTTCCCTCCATAAAGTTAGAGGATCCTTACCCCCACATTCATTAAGGCGCTCTATTGACATGGAAAAAGAAAATTCCTAAATTCGTGCAAGGTATGTTGCATTGTGCTTCATTTTTGATGGTATGATACGGTGGGAAGAGAACTGGCTGTTTTTGAATGCTGGTTTGTGTTTTACGTTTGTTTTCGCAAAATGTCGCGGTAAGTAAGAGTCGGCACCGTCTTTTATTTTATCCAACAAGGAAAGGAAAAAAGCACAGAAAAAATCCTTTTTTGAGATGTTTCTCGGATCCGGGGGGTAGATTATAGAAAGGGAAGGTGTTAGCATCCTTTCTATCTGTGGTTATCCACGGGCTCTTAGGTACTTGCTCAAAGTGTTTTCAAAATTTGCTTTTCTTTGTGTTTGTGGGTTTGAAAGAAGTTTTTGTTTGAAAGGTGTAAGTGCGAAAAGTTTTGTTTTGTTTTAGAATGAGCGAGTACTTAAGAACCATCTACCTACTCGAAAAAGGAATTAATCTGTACAAATGTCCTTTAGACAATGCTATCCAACTATTGAGGAGTAGGTAGCACCGTCGTTGGAGTTTTCAAGTCAATTCGATTAAGGGACGTGTGGTCACTAAAGCAATGTTAGGATGCCTTAGCGGTAACCCTAATGTCTTAGATCATTTCATCTGAGGCAACCGTTTCGAGGCAACTATGATCTTTGGACAAGAGGGCGATCTCTAAAACTTCCTATACTCAATGACCACGTTCGAAGGCAACCAAGTGAGGTGTACCCTAAGAGTGCGCATGTGCGAGTGTGTTATTTCGGTTAATTTTATCTTTGTACATGTCATGGGTAAGCTATGTTGATTTTAGGTTCATACATTCGATCTTGTCATGCATTCCCTATTATCAAACATCTAATAGTGTATAGTTGCGGAAATTAAATTGTGGAATTTAAATCTAAACTATTACAAGGCGTCGGATATTTACATCGCCAAAAACAACCCTTGAAATTAAATTGCGGAAAATAAAAGAAAGCGATATAATAAAGTCCTAATTAAAGCTATTACATTCCGAAAGCAATTACAATATTGAATAAAATGAATCGCGTGCACGAAATTAAATCGGCGCATTTTTTAGGGTTTGACCCTTTTTTATTAAAGAAAAGATTTTTTGGTTTATTTTTGAATTAAAAGGAATTAAACCTAAGTTAAATAAATTAATTAATTAAAAAAAGATATTTTTGGATTTTGGGATATTTTAAGAAATAAAATAAATTGGATTAATGTTAATAAAACCTAATATTCTAAATTGATTTTAAATATTACAAAAATATTAAAAGTTAAACCTAATTAATGCTAAATTGATTAAATTAATTTATTTACAAAAATAAAAGTGATGAATTTAATTTTAATAAATAAAATGTATTTTTGTGTTTTTTGATTTTATGAGGAAAAAATTTAATTGGTTAGTGATAATAAAAATAATAATTAACAAAACAATTAAATAAAAAGAAATATAAAAAAGAAAAGAAATAAACCAATGGGGGGTTTGGGCCCAGATTGAAGGTGTGCTCAGCATTTTTGAGAGGCCCATTTATGTTGGCCTGCTCTGAATTTTACCATTCCACGCGCGTGCATTGACTTGGGAGTATGGTGAGCCTTCCATCTGGGCCATCAGATTTAGCCTAGAGGCCATCTGGCACATTGTGATCTGAAGTCCATGGTGCATTGCAATGTGTGAGGTACGCTGAATCATCTGCAAGAAAATAACAAGAAATATGTTGGGGACCTGGGATTCGAACCCAGGTCCCATTGGACTTTCCACTAGCGCCTCCACCACTGGACCACTGTGTTGCTTTTGTAATTATAATAAACAACAATTAATATATGGACAAAACAAATAATATGCTGGAAATTATAAAAACGCGCGAGATTGGTTTGAATGGTCCAATTGGAACAAGCCACGTGATCGTCTTCTTCGCTGACCCCCTGGTTATTTACCTGCGGATTTCATCCGCAGCTAAATTCGTAGTTGCCTTCTAAAATCTACCCTAAGCCATAGAAATCAATTCCAAGACCATGGTTCGATTCGTCTGGGTCTCATGAACACATCTATATCCATCAATTGGCCTGATTTTGCTTGAAACTAAAAACCCCAAAAACAAGAAGCGTGAACCCTAGATTCGGGCATTACGTTACAGGCTATGAAAATAAAATCAAATATTGCAGAAAGTTTCGAAATCAAACAAGGATCAAGAATATGTCCATGGTTTGTCAAAAAGATGCAAGAATGAGAGGTTTCGATTTCATGTACAGGGTAGTGTTCAAGAAGACTTACAGCGCGATTGGGGATGTTTCAGAGCTTGATATTGATTGCTAACGCTTCAGTGGATGTCCAGCAAGAGGTCTACGTTGAGATTTGACCTTGAATCTGCCTCTAACCAAGATTT